CTGTTTTTTGGATTTGGCCAATAGGAAGCACCAGGAGGAGACAAAAGGCACCGGAAGGAGGTGGTAGGGACTGGGAGGAGATGGGAAGGACTGGGAGAAGGTGGGAGGCACTGGGAGGAGATGTGAGGCACTGGGGGGAGATGGAGGGACTAGGAAAAGATGGGAGGCATTTGGAGGAGGTGGGAGGCACTGGGAGGAGGTAGAAGGTGGGAGGCACTGGGAGGAGGTGGGAAGAGATGGGAGGAACTGGGAAGATGTGAGAGGAACTGGGAAGAGGTGGGAGGCACTGGGAGGAAGGGTGAAGAGTATAAATGACATCTATCCTTCTGTCAAAGGCTACCAGTGCTGTCAGGCAACCTTCTCCACATAGTTACCCTTACCCTGTACCAGTGACCTTCCCTGCCTTTGTCCCTTCTGACCAGAGATGATATCTCCCCTCTCACTGCTGGTATGACTTCATTCCTTGTTGATTTCCTTAAATCTTGCCTATATATTTTTGTACATAATTCCTTTATTAAACTTTCATTAAATTACCCACTCTGAGTGTGTTGTTTATTGCCAAGACCCTAGCTGACACAAACCACTACCTCTAACTCTAGAACGTCTCCTCCAGAAGCTACCAAAGCCCTCTTAAGAAAATTGCCAGATTAAATGTTCTCTTTTGCCATGATTTCTCTCTGTGACATTGATCAATCTCTTCTTCATACACCTATGGCACTCAGTGGTCACTTTCAGTTTCCGCTCCCCATTACTCCTTTATAAACATGGGCAAGTCTAAAAGGTTCTTTCCTTAACCCTCTGCTTACCTTTCCATGCCTTCTCTACCAGGGACCCTTACTCACTACCAAAATAAATGATCATTATGTTGATGGCTCCCCAAGATAGCTTTCTTTTGTTTCCCCCTTTTTGTTTTCAGTTGGCATCTCACTCTGTCACCCAGGCTGGAGTACAGTGGCACACTCACAGCCACTGCAGTCTCCACCTGCTGGGTTCAGGCAATCCTTCCACCTCAGCCTTCCAAGTAGCTGGGACTACAGGTGCATGCCACCATGCCTAGCTAAATTTTTTATTTGAGGCAAGGTGATATCTTTCTAATCCTAAATTCTCTTTCATACTCTAGTGCTGTCTTTCAAACTGTTGGTTTTACTAAATGTCCCTCTATCATATCAACCAACTCTAAGCAGAATATCATTATCAAGGCATAGGAAACCAGTACTGCTCTCAAGCTGTCTTACAACCATTAATTGTGCCACCACTTTTAAAGTTCATTCTAACACCCAATTCGTTTCCAATTAATACAATCATTCCTTTATAAGTGGCTTTCATCTTTCTCTTCATTCTTCATTACTAGTGCTGCTAAATTGATTCAGAATTAGATTCAAGTTTGGGAATTGCATTAACTTCCAAACTGGTAATTCCCACAGTATCTAGCACAGCCTCAATCACTCTGCAAGTCAATATTTGTTGAGTTAGTGGACCAAAACCAATTATAAAGGGATTAGACATACATCTTATAAAACATTACATAATTAAAGGGAAATACACAGTACATACATATTTGAAAAGACAAATATGGAAAAAAGTGTTCATTCTTGTATGTAATCAAAGCAGTATTTGTATGCTAAGTACTATACTACCTTACATACATAAGATTAATTGATTAAAAAAAATTAAACCTGTATGGGAGGTTGTTTTTCACATATCACTGATGAATCAATTGAAGTTCAAGGAATTCAAACAAAACTACAAAGTCACAAAACTAGAAAGTGAAAGATTCTAAGTTCAAAAGTATGCCTGTCTATGTTATACATGCAGTATATTTAGTTTAACACGTACAATGAACATGGACTTTGTATCTAACGCTAGGCTTTGGGCAAAATTATGTTTTGACTTATAAAAATATTACTAAACTCTGTTTGTCTAAGTAAGACAAATTAGTTAACGGTAATTCTCTGCTTTAACTTGAAAAATAGACTCATCAAGAATAAGAGAAGGCAGCAGGGTGGTAGAAGCAGTGTAAGAGGAACAAATCCTAATTAAAAAGTGACACTGGTTGTTCAGAAGGTACTTCTAGAATCAAATGGAAACCGTGATTTGCCTGAAAATCAAAAAGAAACCACAAGTTGTCCAGAAAGAAAATACTAACCAAGTAAAAATCGCAGCTCAACAGTAATTGAGTGGGAGATTTTGCAAGAAGTTTTTACTAGCGCATTTATTGCCAGATACACCAACAATGAGGGAGAGAATCCTGCCTTGGAACCTGCCAGGAAATGAGTAATTAGGAGTTGAAATAGTATTTTATATCTATTGATGGTAGTTGGTACCTATTGGTTCATAACTCTGATTAAGTATAACTTTTTGCCTTTAAAAGTGCCAAATAGTAAGAATACTCCACTTAGTTGAACCATAGTGGACAGACTAGGGAGAGTACACTGTTCTACAAGTTACTCTATACCATTGGGAGGCTCATGCCCCACGATAAACTAAGATTTATTGATGAAAACATATTGTGCACATGAAAGGCAGATAAAGATTGAGAATCACAGACCTTGAATAAGGCTGACTAGAACAGGTTATAAAATAATGTTATTTTTCATTTGAACCTATGTGAAATAAAATGCCTCATGGGAGAAAATAAATAGATACTATTTTGCCAAAATAAAGAGTATTATCCACAATTTTTCAAGAGCATCATACATGTCATAAAATATTAATAACAACAGTTCAATGATAAACATATGGTACACATAAAAACAGAAAGTTCACTTAGCTTAGTATTTTCTGCTGTCAGAACAAAAATTAGTTACATAATAACACAGGAGCTGTAATCAAAGCAGTATTTGTATGTTAAGTACTATACTACCTTGCATATATAAACTCAATTGATTTAAAAGAAATTAAACCTATATGGGAGATTCTTTTCACATATCACTGGTGAGTCAATTGAGGCTTAAGGAACTCAAACAAAACTACAAAGTCCAAAATAGGTACTACATCCATAGAACTCTGCTTTCTTTTATTCTAGCTTGTCTTGATTTTTTAAAGTTAAAAACATCAAATGGCCTTTTAAAGCTGTGATATCCAGATTTTTGGATCACGTACAGTCTGAGTAAAAAAATGTTTTGAGAACATTCTTAATAAACATATGTGTGCTCACTCGTAAATTATAACCAAGTAGTACCATACCAACATTATAAATATATACACAACTTAACAAAAAAAGAAATTACAAAGGATAAGAGATAAAATAATTAAAATTCAAAAGTATTTTAATGACTAAAAATACAAAATATCTTTAGAATCTAATTGAGATATTTAAAAACTCTTATTAAATATTGTGATACTGTATAGATATTTCAGGGCCTGATTCTCAATTCATCTTCAATAGCTGGTTCCAATGGTTGTATTAGCTGAAAAGATTTTATACTGCTATGTAGAGTCAATGAAAGAAATGCAACATTAACTATGCCTATTCAAGTCATAATGCTTGTTTAAAGTAATTTACTAGTTATGCTAAGGTTTTAATTGAAATTTTGCTAGTAAAATTCCAACTTTCCTAAAGTTCTTGCAAAGTTAAGAGGTGTGTTCTATTATTGTTTAAGTAGGTTTAAAACTCACCTAAACACAAATTAAGAAAGACTTTTAAGCAGGTTATAAAATTCTATTTTCATGTTTTTGAATTACGTAGATATGACAGCTGGGTGATACATTTATATGATTTTTCAGTAAAATCACAAAACAATGGATATTTTCTAAAAGTCTATTTTCAAAATGTTATCTTTATTTTTTAAAGTTTATTTTAAATAGTTTCTTTCTCATTCACTCTAAAATATGTAACTCTTACCTTTATGAGTTTCTTTAAAAGTGCCTACACATAAGTTAATTGTCATTTGTCCTCATAATACTATCAGCAAATTGTGAACCTTTTTATTTTCTTAAAAATAGTATAACTATGACAACTCTTTAAAATCTAGCCAGTCCCCCATTTTATAAAATAAAAAACTGCCAAGGTCACTCCCTATGATGATCAAGTATGGTATTTATAAAAGTCCAACTATTTAGGATGAGATCCATAAATTCACTTGTTTGGACACATGTAAAATGCGATATGTCACAACATATAGTGAACAAATAAGTGAACTATAAAGTCCCACTCTTCCTCAAGAAACTTTGGTATCTGAAATGACTCAGATCAGCTGACATATGGATCTAAAGAAGATGCCAGACTCAATCTGTGTATGAAACATTAGTAAATCTAAATTTCCTTATTCTTAAAGGAAAAGATTATAAATGGAAATGATAGTCTCTATTTCCGGCATCTAATGATGCTTATCGTGTATGCTCCACAGAATGCCTTCATCCTACTTTGGACACTACTGCTTTAAAATATATATTGTTGATTAAGAATTTAACAATCTGCAATTTCAAGTCCCTTCTAAAAAACAATCAGTTTGCTTCTTTCCTACCTCAAGTGATTCACAGAGTTTTAGACTATGCCATTCAGATAATGTCTAAAATGAAAAATAGTTATTAAGAATTTCATTACTTCTTTAGTGTAAAGGTTGAAAATATTATAATTACCAATTTAAAGGAATAAAAATTTTTAAAAAATAAGTATAGCTAAAAAATAAAAAAACAGTAGAGATATGTGACTCTATCATTTACATAAATTATTTTCTCATAAGCCATCATTTAAATGTTGACTATCAAAATATATCAATTCTAGTATTAACTGAAAGTTGAAATCTATTTCAAATGACTATAGCTACATTTCACTGTTTTATAGAATAGTGTCAGTAAAGAACCAAGAAATATAGTTAATTTATTTTTATTAAAATCAGGATTTTAGTCAGCTTTATAGGAGAATCTATGAATTCAAATACAAGTTAATAGTCCCTTATAACATTAATTTCTTCAGAAAAATGAAAGAGAAAATCAGCTCAAGAGCAGCTAGCTGCACAGTGCTGAGTATGGCACAGTATTCCTGGTATGTGCCTTACCTTTGCTCCGTGCTTATGAAGAACTTCCATGACATCATTATGAGCTCTTTCTGCTGCAACATGCAGGGGAGTCATGAAGCTATGGAGATGAGAAAAGGAAAAGGCAATTTTCTCTCTAACTTTTACTGCATTTTCTCTTTAAGAATTGGACTTCTGCAATTACACTTACTCTTTATTTTTTTCATTAACATTTGCTCCTTTTCTAAGTAACAATTCTGTCACTTGTTTTCGTTTGGGATGCAGAGAGGCCACAGCACAGTGCTATGAAGTAAACAAAACAAAGTTAATAAAATAAAATTCTATTTAAAGGTAGATTTTTGAATTAAACAGCATCCACTGACTATTTAGAACACTGTAATCTCTGAGTATTAGGACATACTTATAAGTTTTGCATTATGGAGATGGTCAATATTCCTTCTAAATACAGTGGAAATCAAAATGTAAGATTTTAAATCAAGACAAAATTATGCTTAGTTAAGCATCAAGAGAGGCTTCATTTCTTTTCACTGAGCCAATAAATAATTGTTCAGTATATATTCTATAGAAGGCATCAAAATACTGCCTCTTCAAAGCTCCAGAAATCGATAACAAAATTATTCAATCCTTCATTAGATTATCAGGCACATAAGTTAATATTTCTCAAACTCTTCTACAGAAGTATTCCCAGCGCTATAGGAGAATAAGCCTATATGCCAAAGGATAGGCAAGAAAGTGATAGTCCTTTTAAAAGAAGTTTAGAGAAAGAGATATTCTCAGAGATTTTATGTTTTATCATATTTATATAATTTTTGTGCTCTGCTTCATTTTATTATTTGTAGTAAAATTTTAATCAGAAACGACTTACAACTGACTAAAATGAATACTCCACAAAAATAGGTCAGTTTATTCCATGGCTTGAATATTTCCTGGCATAATGCTGTGTAGCTTGAACATATCTGAACCCCATGACATATTTAAGCACATATATAGCTGATCCATTTTAGTGTTGTTTTCAGCAGATATTGACTAAAGTTTGACCTTTCTGTGCCAAATGTTATATAAGAATATTAAGCACAGTCTACCTTTAGCTCTGTGATAGCCATCACATATGCTCAAATTCTGAATTCAGGAGCAATCACTAACCATCTGAACCTTAATGCAGTCTATGACAAAGAAAATAAACTAATCTTTTTGAAAGTACATTAGAAGAAAAAAACATGGATAGCTTTAAGGATAAATTGTTCAGTCTGAAATAGAAAATTCATAATCTTACCATTTTTCTAGCATGAATATAATCAGTTCTTTGAATACAATTGCTTAAAAGAATGATACAAGTATCTTTAAAAAACACACTTTAATCTTCTACAGAAAGAAATACGTATTTATCTAGCAACCACAAAAAGAAAAAAAGGAAAATTCTACTGGGAAAATCATATCTTGTATTTTATGAAAGAATTGGCCATAAAAGTAGATTTGTTATAATAAGGTTAGGAAGACAAAGGTAAAATAATTTTCAAACAGAGGCTGAGCAAATGTCTATTCTCTCATCCATGAAAAGAATCATCCTCTGAACCAAATTTAAAAATCAATGCAACCAACATTAAAATGCAAATTCCTGGCATTTCAGATACTAGGGTTACTTTAAGATTTCTGAAATGAAAATCATATTTTGTGCTTACACTGTTATTACAGACCCAGGGAATAGATTAACAATAAAATCTTACCAGTGCTGTTTCATGAGACTGCGGTTGTTTGAAATTAATGATTTCTAAAGCAAGTGTTTTTTTAACTTTTGCTAGGTCTGCTTCTCTGGCTGCTTGTAGTAAAGAATGACCTTTAAATTCATCTGTCAATGAAATAATGGGTGACATTTTAAAAAAGATTTAAAATTATAAGAATCTTCAGCACAATTATAAATAAGTAGAAAAATTACTGATTTTACAAATTTCTCTATTTTAGCAACAGCAGCAGTATGATGATAAAATACTACGGATGAGGCTATAGATTAATGTAAAATTTGGAAATGTGTATGTTCCGAAGTAAGACTGCATTATATGCTCAGAGTTCATAAAGTTACATATAAAAGATAATTATTGCAGCAATTTTTTTTTTTAAGAGTTGGAGTCTTTCTCTGTTGCCCAGGCTGGAGTGCAGTGGCACACTTACGGCTACCCCAGTGTCAAACTGCTGGGTTCAGGCAATCCTTCGGCCTCAGCCCTTCAAGTAGCCAGAACTATAGGCATGCACTACCACACCCAGCTAATTTTTTACTTATTGTAGAGACGAGGTCTCGTCAAGTTGTCCGGGCTGGTCTCAAACCTGCGGGCTCAGGCAATCCACTTGCCTCGGCCTCCCAAAGTGCTGGGATTAGGCTGAGCCACAGAGCCCGGCTTGCATATTAAAACAGGCAACCTAAATGTCCATCGAAAGGAAATCAGTTAAGTAACTTGCATACTTGACAGCTGTAATACTTTACAGCTCTTAAACAACAGATAGATCCATATATTCTGACAAGAAAGAATACACTGTTAAATGAAAATTTAGGTAGCAAAAGAGAAAGGATAGGCTGAACCATTTTTAAAGTATTGTTATTACTCTTGCTACCACAACTAAATACAAGTTATCATATGGGAAAATATTTAGAGAAATATTCACCAAAGCATTAATAGTGATTAGGTCTTGACCTAGGGGAGAGAACATCTGAAATGCTGGAGAAGTTCTAGAGTTTTAAATTTTTTCCAAGAATAATTAATATCTTATTCATTATTTTCGTAAGAAGATGAGATGATCACATGAATAAGAAGTCAATATTCTTATTTATTAAATACATGATCTCATTTTCTATCTTACACATTTGACTTGCATTTTGATAGGCTCACTTATTAACAAAAAGCTGAAAACTGTTCCAAAAAGATGTAAATGATATATGACCTAATATATCATATAACAATTTCAGACCCTCTCATGCTCAGTCCTTTGCATTTGCATAGTACCATATTCTTCCTCTTTTCCCTTCTCTCCTCTCCTTTGAGGGCCCCATCACATTCCCTTCTGTCCCTCAAAAGACAGAGAGAAACACACACACAGAACAAGTGCATATGCATGCCTTATTAACTACTACTGATCGTTCAAGGTCTTAGATTAGATACTCTGGGCAAGCCTTCCCGACCATCCCCATTGTTGCATTATGATTCCATCTGATGAGGGCCACAGCACTTGCACTGGGCCTTGTCACAAGACATATCACACTGTCATATTTACTATGGTAGTTTCATTACCCAGCACAGTGCTTGGCATATGGCAGGTATTCAGTAAATATTTGTTGCATAAACACTGATGATTTATTATAAGTCATGGCAGGTTCAGGGGAAAAAACATTATAATATAGGTTCTTATTTAGTGTTCTTTATCATTGCTAAATTGTTCGCATATAAGACTTTGAAACTTCAGAAACAAATAGCCAAGGTCAAATCAGATGGAACTAAACCAGTAAATTCCAATGAGATGAAACTAAACCAGTAAATTCAAATAACAAATTATAGTTTTTCTCTGTAATGATAAAATTAGGGACACATGAAGTAAGATAATTATAAACTGTTATATATTAGGAACAGGAGTCAGATAACTGCAGGGGAAAATGATGTACTGAGAACCGATGTTCAGCAAAAAGTAGTTTTGCTCTGGTCATCAGTCTGGAGAAATTTTAACAATGCAAATCACATTGGTCTTTTCACTAATGATAAATATTCTATGCCTATCAAAGTGATACAAGCATCTTTACCTTTTCAATTATGTACTCCTTTTCATTTAGAAAAGGTGGCTCATAAGAAAATTAAATGAGCAAATGTATAAAAAACATAAACAGAGACTGCAGTACTAAGGAAATCAAGAAACTATGATGTGATACTACAATTAAACAGCATGGTATTTTCTCAAATAACAAAAAGTAAAAGATTTCTTATCTTTGCTCTTTAAAGGTTTCTTTCCAAATTTAAAATCCTTTAATGAGGAATACTTATGATTGAAAAGAGAAACTCACAGGGTAAAAACATTTATGAATTATAATTGTCCTAAATTTCTAAATGCAAAGGTTACATAAACGTTTACTTTTAAGACTTCAATGAAGTTCAGTAGTTAAAAAGGTGGTAAAACTGTAAATTGCTCAAACTTACCCTGAAAACTTAATATTTATAAAACAGAAGTCTCTCTCTCTGAATGCATTTTGAAACAAGAATGAAACTCTAATTCATTTAGCTTCATAAAAACAATTAATAAAAAAACAGACAAGAACGAACAGGAAAAAATATGTGCAAGGAAAATGTTATAACCATCAACAAAATCACAACATTGTTTTTCTTTCTTTCCCATAAAATTTTCTTTAAAAAACCCTCTCTAATGCATATGCCTAGTATAAAGTAGTGAACATGATGAAAACTGCAGTTAGATGAGGTCCAATTTTTGTTAAATCCTTTTTTTCAGATAATTCCTTGGTAGAACCTTACTTAATAAAACAAAGAGATATTAAGAAGGTTGGAAATATGCTAATCAAGGGAACTGATCCCTTCATAAGACTGCACAAACTTAGGTTAAATTTTGACGTTTTCACTGGAATAAGACCAGTAAAACATAATGTAAAAACTTCTAGTGATACTCTTCATTTACAAAATGTTGATTAAAGAAAAAAAATCAAATAATGACACAAGAATAAAGCTGAGCTAGCACATAAATTAAGAAAAGGAAATTAGAAAAAGATAAAATGATAAGTTATGAGTCAAGTCAAATTCAATTCAATAAACTTGTTAAGCATATACTACATACAACGCACTGTGCCAGTTTAGGGATTGGCGGATATAGGCCCAAACACAAATACCATCAAACATTTTTATTAGGAAACAGGATATCACACAATGGCCAGAACAAAAAAGAAAAAGAAAACCAAAGGTTTTCTAAGAATTAAAATTTCACTAGGAAGACAGAATAAACAAATAGAAAAGTGAACTACATAATGTAAGACAACATATGGCAAGAGTCATCTGGGTAGGAGTGAATAAATGAACGTTTAAAAGAATTCATTACAAAGTCATCTGTCCAATTAAAAGTTGGTTTGTGTCGGCCTACAATCTAGTAGATTTGACCTTTTTGAATACCAAAGTAAGTTCAAATTTTCACTTAAGGTCAAAACTGTAGGAAATTCTTTCTGTTTTAACATAAAGTAGTTTAAAATCTGTTCAAACATAAATTATGCTAGCACCATTTTGACTCTGGTTAACACCTAGCAAAGATTTTCTTAGGCGTTATCTGATTCCTAGTATCCTTGATGTAAGAAATCTTACAGACCCTAGGACAGCTAAAAATTAGGTAGGTAATACCTAATTTCATTTAAACTCAAAATGCTTACATGTAGAATTAAATATTATCTCATTATTGATGTGACAACTTTATGTAATATGGTATCCTGAATGAGTTCTGGGAACAGAAAAAGGACTTTAGGCAAAAACTACAAAAATCTGAGTAAAGTATGAACTTTAGTAAATAATGTCTCAATATTGGTTTATTATCTGTAATAGATGTACTATACTAACATAAAATGTTAATAATAGGGAAAATGGGTATGAAAGATATGAGAACTCTCTATACTATCTTCATAAAACTATTCTAATACAAAAAGTTTATTTAAAAGCATTTGTATACATATATGTAGGTAGTTATATCAACATTTGAGAAGATTACCTGCAGCAAATCACAAAAATCTCACTTATATTTGGACAAATGATTATACTTTGGTCATAACACACATGAAAAATAGAAACATAACTGTGCAACCTTGCAGGGCTTGGGAAATTGTGAGTGTTCAAAAATGTTAGATATCTATTATTATCAATGACACAAGAATATAAGCTCTATGAGCTCCAAGATTATTTTTCATGGTTTGTACATTGCTATATTTCTATTGCCTACTACATAGTAAATATTCAATAAATGGCTGTCATCCTCATTAGTCTTTAAATAAAAAAGGAGCCAGAACACATGAATTAGAATTAGGCTTGAATAAATATTTTATATACATATGTGTGTATATAATAACCTTTATATAAATTCTATGGAATCCACGAAGAAAAGTGTATATTAGAAATGAGGATTATAAGCTAGTGCATGTGTAAGAATGGAAGGTTATTAAAGTTAGACAAAATTCAACAGAAATAAGATATTTCCAAGTATAACAAGCAATATTGATTTTAGGATATAAATACATACAAGTCAATCTTTCCCGGAGCTCAGGGGTTGGAGCCATATCCACAGCACTTTTGCCATGGCAGTTGACTAATGTAGGATCAGCACCGTGGCTAAGTAACAAGGAGCATACTTCTACACGATTCTTGGAAGCAGCCTCATGCAGTGGAGTAAACTGCCAGAGATCCATAGCATTCACACATGCTCCATGCTGAATTGAGAACAAATGGTTTATGTCAGTAATCATTTCACTGGATCAAATAAATCTCAGAAGACATTTATTTCACTGTAAATTTTAGTTATAATTTTTTAAAATACGGGTTTTGATTTCCTTAAGTTCAGCTTTAAAAGCAGCTTAAATTAAATAGAATGTTTTAAAAACTTTAAGTCAATGATAATATTTTTAAAAACTATTCCACTTTTAAAAAAATCTAAAAAAACTTTCATGTGGCAAAAAACCACGTGAAAAGTCATGACAAGTTTTTTAAAAAGCAAATAATGCTCAATATTTTACATTTCTCTTACCTTTAGCAGCAGTTCTGTGACTTCATAATGTCCATATGAACATGCATTATGAAGAGGCACAAGTCCACTAAGTGAAAAAAAGTAAATTAAAACACTTAAATTTCAAACAACTTATAGTCATTTATCCAGGAAGTGCTAAGAAACAAAAATTTCACAAATTCCAATACAATTATATTTTAAAATATTTTAAAGTATTTAATAAGATAATTCAAAGGATAACTTATATTTACATCTTTTGTATTTATCTTGGATTTTTTGTTTATATAAGTCTTAAAGATAATGATAAAAATACCAATGAGAAGATATTCTGGTAAAAGAAAGATTATGTGCTAATTGACAATTCCATGATTTACATATTAAGTATTTATAAGAAATAAATGTTAATTGATAGTGAACTGAAAATATTCCACCATTTTAATTCACTTTCATGATAATTACTAGCATAAATCTAAATATCCAAACTATCATAACTTTCATACCAAAGTATGACAAATGAGTCAAAAACCCCTTTTTGTGGTGTACTTCTCTTGATGATTCACCCACTGTATACCCATCTGTTTTCAGATATGCATAAGGAAACAGAGATCTACAAGAGCATCAGGCATTTATGCCTCTATACTACTGGGACAGCACTCACATATGGCACAAAACCTGGTGCAGGCAAAAGAAACAGCACCAAAAGGAACAGATATGAAATGAATGAATTCCTCCTTTGGTAAGTGTCTCAAGTACTGACTTCATTTTTATGTTTCTTGATTTGAAGAGCAGCAAATTGAAGGAAACTTTCTTCTTTATGCTATCACAACACTGTAACATAATCTAGTAGAGTCATTATCTTTTAGATCTTAAAGTAGGACAATGAGAAATGTTAGCCCATCACATAAGATAGCAGACCCAATGTTCATATATCCCTGGGGACTATACAGAAAACTGTTACAAAGTTTTTCAAAATTTACCTGCTCATAAAATAAGTGACATAACTGCTTTCTCAGTTCCTATACATACTCCTCCCATTAAAACTTCATAAGAATCTCTTAGGTTTTCTCAGTTTAGATGTCCAAGATTTCACCAGAAAAAACATTAGTTATTGTATACTTATAATTTTGATTTGTTAATAAGAGATTATCCTTTATTAACCAATGAATATGATAGCTATGCTACTGGATTATAATTTTCAAATTGTTTTAACTTTCTAAAATGTAACTTAGGAGTTGAAAAACAATTGACTGCAATTGAGAAACAAATTTTAACTTCAAATAACAGAATTGCAATAGAACTAAAGTGATTTAAGAAATTACTATGGGAAGTGTCCTTAATAGGCAGGTACATGAAAATAAAGTCTGAAATTAAAGTTATGAACATTCTTAAGATGCTACATATATAAAATATATGACTATGTCTAGTGCTTAAACAGTTTAGCGTATCAGATGAAAACAAAGCATAGCAATCCATGAACGAAACCATTAAAAGAAAATAAAGTGATACACCTACCCTTTGTCTTTTGCATGAACATCGGCTCCATGCTGAAGAAGAAGTTGAACTATTCGAACTCTATTGTAGCCCGCTGCTAGATGCAAAGGAGTAGACTAGAAAAGAGAAAACATATTCTCCTCTTCAGGTAAAAAAAACAAAACAAAAACGCAGCATTGCCATTTCAAACTTAAACACAAAGTTAACACAAAAAATACTGGGGTGAGCCGGGCTCGGTGGCTCAGCCTATGATCCCGCGCTTTGGGAGGTTGAGGTGAGTGGATTGCGTGAGCCCGCGGGTTCGAGACCCACCTGAGCAACTTGGCGAGACTTCATCTCTACAATAAATCAAAAAATTAGCCGGGCGTGGTAGCGCACGCTTGTAGTTCCAGCTACTGGAAGGCTGAGGCGGAAGGATAGCCAGAACCCAGCAGGTCGAGGCTGCAATGGCCAGGAGCGGCCACTGCACTCCAGTCTGGGTGACAGAGTGAGACTTTAACTCAAAAAAAAAAAAAAAATACTGGGGTGAAATGCCAAAACTTCACATTTCATAACTGAATGAGAGACAATTCACTTTCCCCAGGAGTCAATTCTAACTTTAATACCATTCATCAAGTTTCCTTACTTGTTTTTCAAGGCCTTCAGTTAATCAAGCCCGACCCTCCCTATTTATGAGATTTCCTATTTCTTTCCAACATGAACAATTCTCACTGTTCTGAGAAGACATGTCAGGGCTCATATTCCCTATAACTGGAAACATTCTTCCTTATCCTACTTAAATCCTTTCCTCCTTTCAAGTTATATCCTTTTAAATCCCAACACTACCATAAAACCTTTCTAAAGATCTAGCTCACAAAATTTCTCTAACAGGAAAGACTGAAAAGCATCCCTAAAGAACTATTTGAACAAACTTTAGGGGAACATAATGGACCTTATTCATTCTGTATGGCTGCTAGCAACGGTCAAAACTAATTTGTTACACCAGATGCAATAAAGTATGCCAAGATAGTATGTAATTCTTCTATTTATGTACCACATACACAGTATAAATATAAAAGTATAGTTTCTTCTCAGTTAATTTCAGTCACATTTTTATTTGAACCGAGTTATTAAAAGTTGTTAAAATTTAATATGATAATTAAAATAATCAAACTTTACCTGTTTTAAAGAATCAGAAATAACTTCATTTGAATCAAAAACTTTTCTGCAGTCTTAGCCATTTCCCACCTTTACTAATCTAAAGTTTAAATATCATAACATTTTCCACATAGGCTCTAATATACTTTAATGTACTCTTTCATTTTTTCTTGTCTTCTCTTTGGGGCCTTGGGATATCACAAGATTTTCAATGTATTTTCTTCACCATGAAAATACAAAAGAACTACTACATACTGTACCATCTAGTACTGCTTTCAATGTACTCTATATGTTTTATATATTCTGATAGTCTCTAAGTTTAGAAAGTACTTTGAGCTATTAATGAGGAAACCATTTAGATAGAAGAGTCCTAAGTAGGAAGTCAGGAACTTGATTACGTTCCTAGATCTTATGAAAGCCTGTGAAAGTCATACTACCCATGTGTCTCAGCTTCTTAATGTATAAAACAAAGATAAAAGCACACATAACAAGCTACCTCAAAAACTTGTGAATATACAGTAGCTCGCCCCCGCCCCGCCATCTAAAATTTTACTTTCTGCAGTTTCAGTTACCCACAGTTAATCATGATCTGAAAAATATTAAATGAAGAATTCCAGAAATAAATAATTCATAAGTTTTAAGTTAAACTCTATCCTGACAAGCGTGATAAGATCTTGTACTTTCTCACTTTGTTCCACCCAGGATGTGGATTATCCCCTTCTCCAGCATATCCCTGTGGTAGACAGAACCTGTTAGTCACTTACTAGCCATCTCACTTATCAGATTGAAAAACATATATAGGGTTTGGTACTATCTGCAGTTTCAGGTATCTACTGGGGATCTTGAAATGTATCCCCTGAGAATAAGGGAAAATTATTATAAAGTTTTCTCCCACCTATACACACTTCTAAAATGTAAACTGCCATATAAAAATAGAAAATTTAAAATGTTGTATCATCACACCACACGTCCAGCCTAGTTTCTGCTTTCAGATACTTGTGGGTAGTGCAAATGATATCTCCAAAGAGTATCTAATTACTTTCAGGATTCTTATTCCACTTTCATTGTAGAAAGATACTTTTGCTGGATAATGAAGGTCAGGTTAACTTTTTTCCTTCTTTTAATGTTTTAAAGAAGCTCTGCTATCTTCTGGCTTGCACTGTTTCAAGACTAGAAATCAGCCATCATCCTTTTGTTCCTTTGCATGTGTATGTGTTTCCCCCCCTCTGTACACTGTATTATTTTCTTTTTATCATTGGCTTTAAGCAATTTGACTATGATGTACCTGGATATATAGTCCTCTTCAAGTTACTTGTGAGTGTATGCACACATGTGTGCATGCTTGGGGCTTGTTGTGCTTAGACCTATATAGTTTTCAATGTATTTGGAAAAATTTTAGCTATTATGTCATCAAATTTCTTTTCTGCTTTTCTCCCATTATTCTCTCCTCTGGGACTTCAATTACACATATATTAGGTTAATTTCAAAGCCTGTTTTTAGGTTTTGTTAGGCAGGACCAGAGCAGCCTTTAGTGTCACACAAATGCTCCCCGACTACTGAGGCAATGCTCTTCTACAATAGCCAATGAACAGGTTTTCCACCTTGGCTGGTGGAAACAGAAATTATCAGAGACTGAGTTCAGGTTTGTTGGGTTGTTTGGCTTGTTGGCTTAGGTGGTTCTTTTATCAGCGTCAGGTAGTTTTCTCATACATATGTTAATCGATATTTAGCAGAAGATTCTAAGGGGATACTTTGCAGATCTCCCTTACCTGGTCCTCTACCTGGCTAACTCTCACCACCTTGGTCTCCTCAAACTCCTTATTTCATCTCCTCTACTCAGAGATACCATGAGGTTTCTCCTGGGTTTCCACTCTCAGCATTAAAGCCTGTAAATTCCTTCGAGGCAGTAAGCTGGAAAAATTTCACAGTTCACCTTTGTTCCCCTCACTCAGGGATTAAATGTCACAATATTAAACATACAATATTTAATATTATATTAAAAGGGTGGCATCTTTATTGTTTATCCCTCTCTCAGGGATGACTGCCACATACTACCTAATGCTCAGTGTCTGAAAACTATGGTTTCATATATTTGGTCTATTTTTCTTACTGTTTAGGGAAAGAAGGTAAATCTAGTCCCTTTAACTTCATCTTGGCCCACTCTTAGGACTAAACTGGACTTTATATCACAGTCTAAAAGCTTCCTTCAGAGACAATGACTGTTTTGGATGACTGCTCAGTAAGTCAGCAAGCAAGCTCTTATATGGCACAGCTGATAGTTAATATTAAATTAAAAAGGTGACATCTTTACTGCTTATGAACAAAGTCTCTTTTTTCACATTAAGTCTCCTCTACACAATTTTATTTGCATACGGGTGATTCAATAATTTTAATTTTTTATTCCTGAAAATGGACAAAGTCCCTAAATGAATGAATACATATGAAATCATATTAATAGCTTATTCAAGAGAACAAATGTAAAAAAAAATTTATCTGGATTCCAGATTTTCAGAAATAATTTAAAAGTAAAAATTATTTACAATGCTTTGAAAATGGTAATATATTTAGTTTTTAAACTGCTGAAATTTATATAACTCAGATAAATTAGAAGGCTCTGTAATTAACAAGGTTGAAAGTGACAGGAAGTCTGAGATAAAATGTGAAAAAAATGGAGTTAAAGGGTTTATTTCAAAAACGATTAGGAAGCAGAATTGATAGAATGTGATAGCTGACTGATATAGATAGTAAGAAATATAGCCGTTTCCAGTTTAGAGATGTCAATGACAGAAGAAATAAAGAAAAGAAAGGAAGGGAGGGAGGAAGAGGGGAGAAGAGCTTAGAGGGAAAGAATTTGAGGTCTGGGTTTATTGAATTTGAAGTGCCTATATTGAGAAAGAAAGAGAGAGAGGGAGAGAGTTATAAAAATGGGACTAGAATTCAGGAGAGGTTATGGCTAAAAAAAATCTGGTAATCAATGTCATTCACTTAAAATATTTTATTATCTACCAAGTATGTGACACCATGTTGAGTGCTAGGGAATAGTGTAGTAAACAACAAAAGTTGAATCAATGCTTTGTCCTTAGGGATCTTTTTCCTCAAAACCACAGAGTTCCTAAAGGAAATGCCTATAAACTAATTCTTTATTCAGAAGGACAAAAGATGAGGGAACAGAAGTCTACTTCCTGAGTAATCAAGTAACTAGAGAAAGCAGGCAATACAATACAGTGTGGCAGATTCTGTGGTAAGGACATTCAGGACACCAGGGAAGGCCAAAGGATGCACATCTAAACCACTCTAGAGGCAAGCAGAAGGAAAAGGGGTCAGGTGAGATTCATTCTCAGAACTGCTTTCTGAATTGAGACCGGAGGATACACAGGAATCAGAGGCAAAAGAACGAGAAACTTTATTTCAGGTGGTATGACAAATACATGTTAATACCCAGTGGACATGGTATATTTGAGAAACTAAAAAATTCGGTGGCTAAGTGTAGTGAATGAGACTGTCACACCACCTGGAATAATGGGAAACCACCCAAGGACTTGAAGCAGAAAATAACTTAAGGTTAGAATTTAGGAAAGATCACTGCAGTTACTATAACGAGAATAAAACCGAAGAGAGCAAACCTTATGGCAGGATGATCTTAACAAAAGGCTATAGGACTAATTCAGGAGAGAAATAATGACGGTGTCAGTTAAAAAAGTGGCAGGAGCATCTAAGTCGAGGTAGCTGAGCTACAGGAGTGATGAATTCACAGGAAACATAAATGCCGAACAAACCAGATGAGACTTTCCAAGTATAATCATTCTAATGTAAATGCAAATCACACAAACTACATAGTATCACTAGAATGCACATAAAAATCAGCAAACTGCATGCACAGTAAACTTGAAAAAATGGCAGCATGCAAAAAGAAAAAGTACCAATAGAGCAAAAAGGATGATTTGAACAAGCTTATGCCACTAAGAGCCCAGAGGTTTGT